TGCCCCCAGGTTTTTTCTATATGATAATTAGGCATTGCCCCATAGTCAGATGATAGGATCCCCCTGCCACATGTAAATAAAGCATACTGCGAGCACCTATCAGCTGAAGCATTGGCTACTGCCTCCACCCTATATTTTCCCTGACCCCCACTGAATAAACGGAGCTGTTTCACTGAGTCTGGAGCTGTTTGTATCACTGAACCTGCCTCTCCGGAAGGGCTTTCTTTGGTCAGTGCTCACTGGCCGTCCTGACCCCATTCGTCGCTTTTGCTCCCTTTGTTCTCATGGACTGGTGGCCAACGACCCACGAGGAAAGGGAGAGAGCCCACAGAAAAGGGTGTCAGATCCTAGAAATGGAGTTAGGGATGGTTGTTAGCGGTCATGTGGGTGCTGAGATTCAAACCTGGGTCCTCTGCAAAAGCAGTCAGTGCTCTCCAGTCCCATTCCTATGCATTCTTACTGCCCTGCTTATTCATTCTTCCTGGGGTTCATCTCCCAGCTCCTATCCCACCCCAAACTCTGGTCTTTGGCAGGGATAAGTACAATAACCTCATTCCCAAGACCAGAGTCCCTTCAAACTCCCCTCCCTACATTGACACCAGCCATCTTCCTAGAAGCTAAACATGGTCATGATTGCCTGGCTGGGACATGCTCCATGGCTCCACCTCCCATTCCCAAGCATGGCATTCAGAGCCTTTCACAACCTAGCTTTGACTTGCTTTCTCTTTTTAATGCACATGCCATGTCTAGGCATGCCAACTGCACCCACCAGCCCCAAACACAGCAAGTATTCCACTTCACACTGCACCCTATGCCCAGCCCTGCCACCTACCCCACAGCAGAACCCCTGCTCAATCAGCACTGCCTCCAAGAAGCCACCACTGCCACCCCTGCTTTCCCAGGCTCTGTTCACTACCGCCTCTCTGGCAGGTTTCCATCTACACATGGAGACAGCAGGCATAAGGCACATGGCTACAGTCCAAAGCTCTGGATTATGATTCTACCTGGCTTTCCTACCTATGAGCTAGTTTATCTTGGGCATTACACATCACTTCTCTGTACCACAGATTTATCCACCTGCAAAGCAGAGGTCCCCAGGACCCAGCATGCATGGTTGTGCAAACCTTAATGGCACATGAATATAGGTGAAGCCCCCAAGAAAGTGGCTTCATAGTGAATGATGGCTCTTGTGACACATCTCAGAGTGAGCTTTAGGAAGACAAGGGCATATCATTTAGGTTAATCTTAATTTGTATCATCTTTGTGTTACCTAGTCCTGTGCACTTAACAGATAGTGCAATATACATACATATATATACATATATATATATATATGGCTTGGTAATAATTTATGTAGTCCACCTCGCCACTTTGCTAGGCAAAATTAAGGATAGGCCCACGTACAGACTGTGAATCAACACCTCATGTGTGTAGCATTGGGCTCACACTGTGCTTCAAAAGAAGAAACCAAGCTGCATGTGAAGGCACACACTTGGGAGGCGAAGGTCGAATGGCTGCCACAAATAGGAGGCCAGCCTAGGCTAGAGTGAAACCCTCCTTTAAAAACAAAAGTAGTGGGGCTGGAGAGATAGCTCAGCAATTAAGAGCACTGGCTGCTCTTGCAGAGGATCTGAGTTCCATTCCCAGCACCCACATGGCAGCCAACATCTGTCAGTAACTCCATTTCCAGGGGATCCGAATGCCCTCTTCTGGTCTCCATGGGCACTGCATGACACAGGTGCACTTATATACATGTAGGCAATACACTCATACACATTAAATAGAAATAAATCCAAAAAATATTTTTTAAGTAGGGCTGGGGAAATAGGGGCAAGAAAAAGGAGGGGATTGGGGGAAAGGGGAAGGAAAGGAAAGAGAGGAACCTAGTTATAGGCACACCTAAGGTACCACCTGGCCCTATAAATATCTGAGTTTGCAAGTCCTGCTTCAGAGGCCAGTAGACTTCTATGCTGGTGGGTGACATCTGGGGTGACTTTCTTTCACTCTGATGGTTTGCTTACTGTGCTGGATAGCTTTAGTGTCAACTTGACACACCTGGGTTGAGGGAGCCTCAATTGGGGAACTGCCTTCATTGGACTGGCCTGTGGCCATGTCCATGGGCACCTTCTTGATTGTTGAGTTATGTGGGAGGGCCCAGCCCACTGTGGGTAGTGCCACCCCTGGGCAGGTAGGCCTGTGTTGGATAAGAAAGCAGACTGAGTTGGGGCCAGAGGAGCAAACCAGTAAGCAGCATTCCTCCATGGCCTGTGCTGCAGCTCCTGCCTCCAGGTTCCTGCCCTGAGTTCCTACCTTGGGCTCCCAGATGAACTGTGACCTGGGATATGTAAGCTAAATAAACCCTTTCCTCCCCAAGTTGGTATTAGTCAGAGTGTTTTGTCACAGTAATAGATAAACAAAGACACCTTTTGAGGCTGAGTGTGCTCTACTAACTTCTCAGAAGACATTACTTGTAACCTAAAATGGGGAATCAGTTGCTCTGACTCGTCTTTTTTTTTCATTATTTTTATCTTATGTGTATGAGTATATTGCCGGCATATATGTAAGTGTACCTGTATCGTGCAATACCCAGAGAGGTCAGAAGAGGGCGTCAGCTTCCCCTGGAACTGGAGTTAGAAATGGTTGTTAACCATGTGGGTTCTGGGAATCCAACACAGATCCTCATCAAGAGCAGCCAGTGCTCTTAACTGCTGAGCCATCTCTCCAGCCCCAACTCCAATCTTTCCGAAGATCATGTGGGAGGCTGGCCAGGCCCAGTCAAGTCACAGACAAAAAAAAGGCAAAGGAGATGGTGGTTGCACCTTATTCCCAGATACTCCTAACAAGCATTTGATGAATGTCTTTGTCTTTAGACACGTGTCCCCTTTTCCACAGAGACCTCCCCCAGGTTTATGATGGAGCCTTCCTACTACTGAGGGAAAGGAGCTGACCTACTGAAGTCATGGTGCTTCTCAAGTTCTTTCGCTCCTGACTTAAAAGTTGGGTTCTATAGAATTTGAAAAGGATTAGGGAGCCAGGGGGTGGATCAAGAACAATTCACTGTACAGGAAATTGAGATATGAGGCAGACACACATGCAGAGTCAAAGAAGGCACCAGAAGTGGAGGCAGGACAGAGAGGACTTTCCCCTGCATACCCCCTCCCAATGCTCCATCCAGTGCTCTTGGAGACAGGACCTTCTTCAAATGAGATCAGATGAGAGTGTGGAGAGGGCTCATCAACAGGGCTTTGTTCTGAGGATATCAAGAGCATGTTTCTGAGAGGTCAATGCTGTGTTAGAGTATTGGGGCACCTTATCAGCAGGGTCTTCAGCCCCCAATTAGACTGGGGAGGCCCTCTCAGAAAGCAGTATAGCCAGCCAGGAAAGAGAAGAGACTGCCATGCCCAGGGGACTGATCAAATAAGCCACCTGAGGGGCCGGAGAGATGGCTCAGCGGTTAAGAACACTGGTTGTTCTTGCAAAAGACCCAGGTTTGAATCCCAGCACCTACATGGCAGCTAACAACTCTCCGTAACTCCAGTCCCAGGGGATCTGACAGCCTCTTCTGTCCTCCACGGGCATTGCACAACACGGGTGCACTTACTACATGCAGGTAATACACACATACACATAAAATAAAAATACTAAAATTTTTTTTTAAAAAGCCACCTGGATGGACCACAGAGTTCCTGGGAGGCATCAGGGAGAGAGGAACAGTGGGAGAAAAATAGTGAAAAGAAAAACAAAGAGAATGCACAATCTTAATTATCTGGCCAGGGAGAGTGAATGAGATAAAGGGCAACTGGGAAGGTTCTCAGTACAAGATGGAGGAAAAGGAGAAGAGGAGAAGGAGGACTGGATACTGGCCAAGAAGGTGCTATCCAGCAGTACAGTGATGAAAACTCAGATCTAAGGACCAAGGGGAAAAGAATCAAGGGAAAGATTTGGAAGCAAGAACTGGGTAAATGAGGAAAATGGCAGAAGCAGCTCCAGAAAAAAAGAACAGGGAGGGGCCAGGCATGGTGGTGCAGGCCTTTAATCCCAGCAGAGGCTGGCGAATCTCTGTAAATTCAAGGCCAGCCTGGTCTTGAGTTCTAGGCCAGCTGGAGCTACAGAGAGACCCTGTCTCAAAAAAAAAAAAAAAAAAAAAAAAAACGAATAGGGAGGGAAAGAGGTGTAATGCACTCGGTGTAAGACTAGGCTAGAAATAAAACCCAAGTCTGGAAATTGGGGGACTGATAAGCTTAAAGAGTAGATACATTTACGGAACAGAAAGGAGAAACATAGCAGACAGGTAAGATGGGGTGCATCAGTCAACCAAAATGGTACAGGGAGGAGGGGGACCCAGGACGATGGCAATTTGAAGGTTACCAGGAAAAAAAAAGCTGCAAAAGAGTATTTATAAATACATCTCTGTATATAAGTGTGCGTATCACTGTGTGCATTAAGAAAGGCCTGGAAAAATATACTTTAAGTGTAGGTATCTGTGGCAGGTGAGATTATGGGGAATTTTTACTGTGTAAATCATGTATTCCTCTAATCCCCCACACATGCACATACACACCCCACAAAAAGGGTTTCTTTTCAGGTAACTTCAAATAGAAAACCAGAGGAGAAACCCCAGGTTGGGACAAGCAGCTACCTTCTCCCAACATAAAAGAGAGCGAGATGGTCCCTGCGCCCTTAGTGATCAACGCAGTCCCCCTCCTGACTCTGGGATGCACGAGGATCAGAGTGGTCAGGAATTCAGCCTGCTGCACCCCAGTCCCCTTTTCCCACTGAGTATCTTGGAGAGGTGGGGGGAATGCTGGCACAACAGGGAGGTGATGAGGAACGTGTCTGGCTGGTAGCATCAACAACGGTGGGTGTCTACAAATGAACATTGAAGGGAAATAACAGCTCTTCGGAGGTAGTTTGTGAGCAGAGGAAAAGATGGAACCAGAATTTACAGGAGGTGGGGAAGGAAGAGCAGGGGGCAAGGTTAGCTCTTCTTAATACCCCACTGAGGAAGGAAAACAGCAGTCTGGAAGCAGGGAGGTGGGAGTGTCCCAGCCTGCCTTAAGTGGCTGCCACGGGAACAGGGTCTCACCTGGGTGATGAGTGATGTCTGTACCTGTCACTACACTAGGTTCCAGAACCCAGTTGAAGGCAAGGTGGGGGCACCTTTTCTACTTTCTGTACCCCAAGGGACTTGCCCAATCTAATTTAGACACTAGGTAAAGTGGAGCAGAAGTGGCTGAGTCCCAACTAGTAACAGGCTGTTTAGCTGGGATTAAGCGACCCCTGCAGCGGCCATGCCTGCTGCTGTGGCCAGTTAAGCCAAGTAGGTTTATCAGAATGGGGACAGACCCCTTTCAGGGCCAGGGGAGTGCTCCCAAACCGCTCTACAAGGCGGAAGAGCAGAGCCTAGGGGCCGCCAAGCCAAGAGCACAAAGAGCACGGGACTCAGCAGGCGCAGGCTGCTGCTAAGTGGGACGCTAACCTGGTCTGAGCACGTGTACACGAGGGTAGGAAGGGCGCTGGGGATGAGGCGGAGGAAAACTGCTCCCCACAAGGCCGGCTGCAGAGCCTTGCTGCCGGTGTGGGGGAGGGGCGGAGCGGGGCTATGG